TATATTAATCAATAATAGCCTGATTTTCATGATCCATGACCCGTCCTAAAATTCTGTTTATTGGGCTAAAAACATCTTTGGCTATTGACAGGCATTGTTATTTGTAAGTAACACATAAATCACAGATATTTTTATTACATTTCATAAATCATAAAAATAATTCAATAATAATAAAAAAAGTATAAATATATATTTAGAATGTTATAGTTTAAGGTCAATTTTTGGAATAATTAGTCTGCTGATGTGGCTTGAAGAAACAGTAATTCATTATTTATATAAAAATAAGTATTATAGTAATATATTACCTTTATTTTAAAAAAATACTTTGAAATCACTTGATTTTTTTTTAAAGGTCACCATCATCTGCCTCAATCTTGAGGCTTGAGACTTGAGACTGCAAAGTGCTTTAGAGTATTGACATAGTTTGTGGACAACAGGAAGCGTTTCTTTGTACCGCCACAGACTATGTCTCCATATTAAAGTAAACCAGATGAAAGAGATACATATCCCTTAATGTGTAATCATTTACCTGCATGCACTGTCCCGACTCCTGAGTCTTCCTCCAGGAATTCACTGTCCCTCTTCATCCGTTGAACGCAGCATTACCCGTAATGTCAAACAGCTGTCAAGAAAGTGAGCCATGACTGTCTCAGACTTAGTGAGAAAGAATGAGCAGCAGCAGTAAGCGTGCAATTCCTCTTCCTTGTTGATGTTTCTCTGCTGTCTGTTTTGTTATGTTGCTAATGGTAACCCAATGAAGCATCGATTGACAGATATGCAGCATGGAAATCAAAGAACTCGAAGATCGCTTTTTGTATATACGAAACCTTAAAAGAGACTGACAGAGTCTTCCAAATGTCTGGGAAACAGGCTTTTCCTGGATCATTAAAGCAAAAGAAGGCTCTTAAATTATTGCCATGATTTCTACTAATCCTGTTCCAAAATCCACCTGATATGCTGTCATGTGTTAGACATTTCACTCCAGATGGGTTTATTTGAAACCCAGACATCTTTTTTCATATGGGCCATAAGGTCACAGCTGTATAGATTTGATATGGTGTTAAACTAAGACAGATCCTCCAACCATCTGTACGTGCATGACGAAATTTCTCAGAAGTATTTATCTTTGGGCCTTTATGGGGGCTTTATACATAAGGAATCCTTGCGCTTTCATCTAAATAAAGCTGGATAGATCACCAGATGTTCCTTTCATCGGATACTATGTGTGCACTTCCCAGGTCAGAGGTCACAGTGGCTCCAAAGATGTCAGACAGTCACTGCGGGACATTCAGCGGCAGAACCAATTGAGGAGTGAGCCACCTTTGCCTCGCCGTCATAAGAGGAGATGGTCACAGATTCGCTCAGAGGGAGTCCTTCCCAAACCTGCTCCACAGGAAGAAGAAGAACCATTCATTTTAGACCTGAAGAACTTCCCTGACCTTGCCAACGCAGACCTGGGCTCCCAGAACCCAAACATTCAAGTAAGAGCAGGCCCAGTCTCACCTTATTGTCATTTTGATTGCTTCAGAATCAAGTTTCTTCCTGTATATACATGCTTTTAAAGAAGTAATACAGTGTTTACAGGCTCTTGGACCACAAGAAAATGAGGTAAATGAACTGAATCAGTAATTTTGTGTCTTGGGGGTCTTGGGTTTCTTTCATTGTGTATCTGTATATCTTGGCATTAGTTCTTCTAAAGACAGTTGTTAATATTATGAAGGTAGTTTGTTATTCCAGATATGTTTAACATCTCACCGTTCCCAAAACCTTGTAATTTCTTTCCGTAGGGTGAACTAAATCATTGTATAATGAGTTGGGTAATGGATTGATTTTACTTGGCAACAGTTTGTGGTGTATGTAATTAACCTATGCACTCATTGTTTCACTGTTATTGCTGCTGTGATTGCAGCAGGGACTTCAGGTTTCTGCGCTGTTGCTGGTCATGTCACAGCTGCTTCTAAACCGGAGAGGCCTCTTAAATTACCCCAAGCGAGACCTTTATTCTGGTGTAGCTCATTTCAGCCGTACCGCTCAAACTCCTGCACAGTGTACCAAAATGAAATCCCGAGAAAATCCAAAAGGTGAAAGGCCACAGTATTATTTTAACAGGCACTTTTAATGCTCCCTCCAAGAGCAGATCCCAATCTTGAAATGTTTTTACAACACGGTAAAGAAGGGATTTTTATATTTTTAGTACTGTTATGAAATTTATGTGTGTAAGTGGACTTGAGAGGAAACGAAGTTAGACTTCAGGGAAAAAATACACAGGAGATCCCTGGTAAGCAAATTGACTTTTATAATAGGGAAAATTCAAGAGTCTTCCAAGTGGGACGGGTCCATCTTCCATATTTTCTAGAAAAAGCTATTTTGTTTTAATGCGTCTCCAATATGGTTGCTGCCAATGTAAATGTATGAGTTACTGCCGAGTTTAGCAGGTAATGTGGTGAACGTTATGATTTTAAGACGTCAGTTTGAAATGAACACTTTCTTAAGTTTTTTGGTATATTTCATGTTATCTTCTTTTTCCATGACTCATTCCTAGTGGCAACAAATTTGATAAGACCTTGACAAAGAAATGCAGCGGCGATTTCTTAAACGTCTGTGTTGCCATTAAATTTTAATTTGCCATTTAATAGACCTCCAGTGATCTAACCTTGGATCTTTTTTGTCTTCAATAGTGACGTCTTGTGTTCTTTGGACGTAGAATACAGTCATGATGATTAGTTCAAGGAGGAGGTGGAGGCCGACTGTTGTAAACAGTGCAGTTACAGTAGCGTAATCACCCGCTCTAAACTGCTCCGTGCCTTTATAAACAGCTGCAGCAGCCATCAGATTGTTACGCTGTAGGGGAAATAAACAACCAGTCCTTTGTCTCGGCCTGCTAGAACACTTGCTATCGTTTTCAGGTCTGCCTGACTCGGGCACTACGAGCCCAAGCATGCAAAGAACAAATCTGTCACCTCAAAACATCCTTTGAAATAAACACACAGGAGAATAGAGAAAACTTTGAATATGCTTTGAACATACTTAACATACACAACTCTAAAAAAGCACAGTGCTCAAGGGGGCGGTAGAGTTACCTTTTAAATGTCTGCGCAATTAAACCCAATATGTTGTTTGTTCAGTGAAACATATACAGTACTGTTTGGGGTCATTTTGTTTTTAGTGTTTTTGAAAGAAGTCACCAAGGTTGCATTTATTTGCTAAAAAAAGGAAACATTATTACATCATTATTAAAATAACAATTTTCCATTTTTTATGTATTTGAAAATTTAATATATATCTTAGATAGGAAGGCTGGATTTTCAGCATCATTACTAGTCTTCAGTGTCACATGATCCTTCAGAAATCATTCTAATATTATAATTTGGTACTCGAGAAACATTTCTTATTATCGATGTTTAAAACAGTTATGCTGCTTAATATTTTTGTGGAAACTCTGATAATGTTTTTTCCCCCAGGATTTTTTGATGAATAGAAAATGAGTTCTTATCACTTAAGATCAATTGAATGTGACCTTAAAAGGAAATCTCTATCTATGTATTATAATTATAATATATAGCACATTTATTGTATATAATTAATCTAATTTGCTTAGAAAGCATGGTCAGATTTGATGTTTGTCAAAATGGTTTCTAGCTGGTCCAAACTTGCCTCCAAGCCTGTCTAGAAGGTTGAACCTGGCTAGCTGGACCTGGTCAGGCTTGTTTGGGCTGGTTGTCCATCTTGAACTGGTTATCAGGTTCCAAAAACAAGGTTTTGTAGAACTACAACTTTCTGATATGCATTTTTTGCAGATCAACATACCAACTTGTATCTCTCTACTAGGTTACCATTGAGGTTGTGGACAACCCACAGATGGAGATTGAGATGGACCTCGCCAAGGAGAGCAGGAATGACTGGTCCTTGAGCTCAGAAGAGTGGCCAGGCCATAAAAAGCTCTTCTGGCCGCTGTTTTGGGAATACCATGACTCCAGTCAAGAGGGTCCTGGGCAAGGCAGTCTGGAGGAGAACGGAGAGGACCTCAGTTATGAGGGAGAAGATTCCCTGTTGAGTGGTGTGGGTGCAGACTGGAACAGACGATGGAAGGGCTGGGACTCCATGGACAATTACGGTAAGCATGAGTAGTTTTTGCCAGTGAGAGTTTGGACGCATCCCTGTTGCTGTGCAAAAGTGAAGAAAAATCCTAATAACTGACCTGAATTAAACTGTCTTGATGTTTTTTTTTCCAACTGTGTAATTGGAAACCCTGAGTTTTTAGTTTTTGTTTTTCTTCAGCCTCGTTATCGGAAGTATCAGCGCTCGTGTTGGGGCTTCTTGGAACGCCGGGGCACATATGCCTAGCTGATTTCCTCAGCAATGCAGGCCCCAGCCTCCTCTTTAGGTTTTGACATTATGATTTATGCTTTAAGGGTTGCACTCAAGAACTGCTACATAAAAAAGTCATTTCTGTTGCCACTTCCAGAGACTTTCTCTTGATGCCTATCAGCAGTAAACAGTGAAAGATGCTGTGTGTCCTAATACATTATCACAATATTAGTTGTGGTACGGATGTTATCTCACCACCAGACTGCTTCTTTGTCAGTTAGGCAGATCATTACCTCAAAATGTTTACATACAGGGCAAACTGTAGTGCTGAAATAAAATTTTAATGCTTAAATAGCAGAACACAACCTATCATCAAGTGCTCTGAAACTTTTCAAAGTATATGGTGAAGAAAAGATCACAGTGAAAGTATTGAATAAGGGATTTCAGGAGGAAACTTGACGCTACGTCTGGTTCACGTTAGTGACAGCGGGCTTGAGCATCAGCTTTGTGTGTCTGCTTTGAAGTTGACACTAGTGCTCGGTAAACGTGGCTATTTGAAACCTGGGCCCCGAATCTTGCTAAGAGCAGTATGGGGCCTCTTTGCTGGCTAAACAACTAATATTTGTGTTCAAGTAGACAGTAGATTGAAAGAAGGGCCAGCATGCTTGGGCTGACAAAGAAAGCGTCTGCTGTGTTTTCATCTCATGACTGGCGCTTCGCTGTGATTCACAGAGCCTAGTCCTTTGAGTTCTCTTAGGAATTCATGGCAGTTCTCAGGCCTTGGAATGAAAGTGTTTTTTTGCCTTTGTTTTGTCTGTCGTTTCCATTTTTCCGCACCAAAGTTATATTCACTGCCTGAGGAAATTGTTAAAGCATTCAGTCACTCTTTTATGTGTGAGACACTGAAAAATTGGCAAACAACATCAAATTGTTGGGAAGTATGGTATTGTACTCGAAGCTGTTTTGGGTAATTTTTCTGCCTCTAGGAGGCACCAGTTAATGAATGAAATAATGACTGTTTCCAAGCAGGTACTGTTTAGCCCCAAGTCATGAGATTACTGTTCAGACTACTGTTCACTAGTTGGTGGTCAGAAAGAAAAAAAATACTTATATTCAGCAAAGATGCATTCAATTGGTCAAAAGTGACAGACGTTTTTTTTTTCCCAATTTTAAATAAATGATGTTCTTTTGAACTTTCTATTTATCTGCATTGCAGTTTCCACATACATATTAAGTAGCACAACTATTTTCAACATCGGTGATATTAAGAAATGTTTCTTAAGCACCAAATCAGCATATTAGATTTCTGAAGCATTAGGTGACACCGAACACTCAAAATTAAAATACATTTTAAAATATATTAAAATAGATAAGAGTTCAATCTTATCTATTTAATATATAATATATTTATATATATAGATAATAATATAATTTATGTATTATAATAGATTTAAATTGTACTGTATTTTTGATCAAAGAAATGCAGCCTTGATGAGGATAAAATCTTTCAAAAATATATTTTTTGTTATTGTGTTACAATATATGTTTTCAACATGTTTTAATTTAAGTGATGAAGTTAAGCAACACTGTGTTTTAAAAGTATCTCTTTAAACTTTGGTAGCAAAAACTGTGTTGTGTTTGGTTTTTATATTGGTGCATATACATAAAATGATTAATGTTATTCTTCTTTGTGTTTATTTATTGGCAAACCTGCAGTAAACCGGTCTTGACTATTTTTAACTAGATTTTTTAACTTTTTTATTCTTTTTTGATCTATCAGTCCTGCTTACTATACTAATACTAGTTTCTGCATAGTAATCAGGGATAGCAAAAATTTTGAACAGAAAAGCTTCACACATATAAGCTCTCATTGGATTGTTAAACTAAAACTTGGGAGTTTAACTTATGCTGCAACGGCTTTAAAACCAGAATCTACATTTATCCTTTAACCAGCTTTATTTCACAAGGGCATTTTTCTTCTCCATCTGTCATTGACTTTCAGGGTGATCCTCCATTGAGGTTGTGTTCCACCATGTTCTGTCAGCTTCATTAGAGCGAAAGTGCATTGGTGGTGTGTGGTCAAATCCAACACCAAAAAAGAAGCAACTGCAGCAAGCTCGCTGCGGTCGTGTCAGCAGTAGAGCCTCTGAGGATGTGGGTACGAAACCGAACCGGCTTCTCTCTGTTGCCCCAGTGGATCCCCTGCTCTAAAAGAGACCTAATGAGTGTACTTAGAGCAGGAGTGTGTTGTGTACAAACAAGCTTGAATGGGAAACAGGGAAGGGCGAATGAGCCACATTATTAATGATGTGGTCTGCTCTAGAGGCGTACAGTAATGAAGCGCTTTTCTGCAATTATGGTGAGCCACAGAATTACAGGCAGGCCATGTTCGGCAACAGCTCAGTAGAATGTTACAGCTTTAGGTCGTTTTTTCCTCTCCACTGCCTTAATGAAAATGATTTACCACAGTTTTACTATAGTAACTCATTATAGTTCCTATGGTATTTTAGTTGAAACAAAGTTCTCTGATAGCAAATATAAGTCGATTCAGTGTGTGTGGTCTCGATCGCTTGTGTTGCTTTCATTGGAAAATGAATGATGTCTGTTTGCTGTTTGATGTCTATCTGTGACACAACACAATATCAAAATATATACAATGTTTAATATACAGTTTTGTGCAGATTTGACACTGTACGAGGCTGCCAAACTCAACTCTGCTTAAGCATTAACAAGGATATCATTGCTGATTTGAGCAGAAATCGCATTTAACATTTTATTATGCCTGGCTTGGACAGAGTATCAGGCAAGCGAGGCAATCCATTTTTTTAAGTTGTAGTCTTATAGTTTCTAAACATACACTATCCTTCAAATATTTGGGGTCAGTAAGATTTTTAAATGTTTTGAAAAGAAGTCTCTTATGCTCACAAAGGTTGTATTTATTTGATAAAATACAGTAATATTCTGAAATATTATTACAATTTAAAATAACTTATTTTAATATATTTTAAATTAAAATGTATTCCTGTGATGGCAAAGCTGATAATTTTATTATAAATATAATTATGTATTAGCTATTATTATTGCGGTTAATTATTATTAAAGTTTTTTGCCGTTTGACATTTTTGTAAATTGTTCTTCTTCCATTGAAAATTGGTATGAATAGAACAAAATGTAGTACCGTTTATGCTTAAACCAGGGGGGAAATATTCTAATGGAAAAAAGAAAAATAAACTTATTTTGAGACATATTCTCTGGGGAAAAAAGTAGTCTTATTATTTACACAATATTGTTTCTAAAATTACACATTTTCTCAATGGGAAAACCAATTCAACAAATACCAATTCAATTGAAGTATTCAAGAATTCAAAAATGTTATTCAAACAATTTGGAATAACCTTCATAAGTGGGTATATCATCAGTGTTTTATTTTCTGTGACAGTACGAGTGGGCATCTTCGTCATCAGAATGTGGACTCTGAATTAGCAACAACACCTGGTAACCAACAACAATGCAGCCAAAATACATTAGCAAGGATACAGTGCACTTATTTCTCTCCCAATCTTCTCTCTCTCTCCATCACTACCGCCATGGAGTGCTTTGAAACTTTAATCTCTTTAGCATGGTGGTGGAAAGAGAGCATTGTTGGAAAGCGTCTAAGCTATTAGGCCTTGCCTTCCTGCTGAAGTGTTTGTATTGGCTCAGCTCTCACAGCTTTAAGCGGCTGACTTTGCCTCTGACATATTTATTACCCCCAAAAAAAGCAAGCCTGGCCTGCCAGGAGGGCCCACATTTTGTTCATTAGAGAGATTATATTTTACAAAGAAATACGCAATATTAATTTAGTTGTGCATCATTAGCTTTCTTAGGCAAACAACAGAGAGATGCACTTACCATCTTGATTGTTTTTGGATTTATTTCTTTGTCAATCCCAGTATGTTGGACGCTACACAGAGTTCTGATGCAAGCAGATTGAAGTTGAAGTACTTTCGGTGAAGATTTCACTTTTAGAAGCTTGTTATATAGAGTAAAGAAATTCCTTTAGCATTATTCTCAACTCATTTGTGGTCTGACCTGCATTGCATAACATTCCCACATGCTGTGTGAGGAATTCGTTAGCCTCAATTTATAGAAAAGGTCAGCCTTTTTGTCACAGAATTCCTACACTCATTCATTTTTTCATCTACAGAATATGAGGAGGAAGAATGGAGCGACTGGTCACCATGCAGCGTCACCTGTGGACACGGGAATCAAAAGAGGATTCGTTCATGTGGCTACGCCTGCACTGCTACAGAATCACGGACATGTGATTTAGAGCGTTGTCCCGGTGAGACTGTCAGTACTGTCCCTTATATTCAGGCCTATGCAACCACACAGTGCACTTCACTGCTCACTATTGATCTTGATCTTAATTCCATCCGGCTCCTAATTATGCTGATAGTGATGGAAAACTTCTCTAATGCCTCTCATTCATCTCTGTCAGGCATGCAGAAGTCGAGCAAACACCAGGGACACCAGACTCGTATTAGAAAAGGAGCAGTCTGGCCTTCTGTGTGTGTACTGTATACACTATGAAACCGCTCTTTGAGAGCAGCAGGCATTTACTTGGCTTCAGTATGACAGCTCAATGAGGGCTTTCAGTTTAAAAAGCCCCTGATACAGGGCGGTCCACAAACGGGCAATACACACAAAACCAGTTTGCTTACAAACTCAAATACACTATGAGAGACTCTACAGTGCTAAATCTGCATAAACACCATATAGAACAACTTAATTTTAACATTTTGAGCTGCTGAAAATAAAAGTTCTTGGATAATAGGAGAAATATTTTTAGAAGTCCTCTAAAATATATTTTTCAGAAATAAATTGGTCATTGAAAAAATATCTATTTGATACACTGCTAAAAATGCCCTGCTAATTTTGAATGGCAAAATAAAAAGATTTTTTAGATTTAAAAATATAAAGTTTTTTTTCCAGCCAGATGGTGTAGTTTTGAGAGCATGGGATAAAAAGTCATACTTCAGCTCCCTTGATCTGCACCAGTTTAAACTGGTTATTGTTGCTGGCAGACCAGCTTAACTAGTGTAGCCATGGTGGATAACCAGCATGAAGTAATGCAATGACGTGTGCATTACTTTAGCTAGCTGAACTGCTCTTGATTTTTGGTTTGTTTTTGGCAGAGATTTTTATTTTCAGGAGGGTAAGCTCATATTGTGTTTTTATTTAAAATTTCATGTTTTGTTTTTTTATATATATATAGTTTCTCTATTACATCTACAGATGACATTCCTGTGACAGAACCGACTCCTCATGAAGTGACAAACAGCACAGAGCTTTTTGGCACAGGTTGGTTTGTTGTTTTTTGTGTGTATTTCTGTGGTGTGGTCATTCAGCAATTCAGTATTCTGGTGGTATACCGTAGTCATTTTTATGTGGTTAGGGTGACCATATGTCCTTTTTTTCCAGCAATGTTCTGGTTGGGAGTTTTAAATTGCCAAAAATGTCTGCGTTTTGGTTTTGTTTTCCTATTGATGTGCTCTCTAAAATATTCATACAGTATGTGTATGCGTATTTGCATTGTTTTAACTGTTCTCTGTAGATCCAACCCTCTCCCACACAGTGACTAGTCAATTATGTACAATGCCTGCACACAACTGGTCAAACTACGTTTCAGTCATTACTTACTGCAAGTATGAAAACAAGAGAGAAAAAGCCCAAATCTGGACATTTCAGGCATTTCAGAAGAAAAGAAGGTGGTATTTGCATAACACATGTCCAGAAACCCATTACAGTACCAGGTTACACTGTTCAAAAACTGTTAAAACTGGTAACTTTTGATACTTTTTTGTAACTGTGTAACTATTGCCATTTATATAATATCTGCAACATTATACTGCACTACTGAATCTCTTAAAGGGGTGGTTCATTGCGATTTAAATTTTTTAACGTTAGTTAGTGTGTAATGTTGCTGTTTGAGCATAAACAATATCTGCAAAGTTACAAAGCTGAAAGTTCAGTGCAAACGGAGATATCGTCTTTTAAAATTCTGGCAGTTTAATGCCTACAAAAATGGCTGGTAGGGACTACAACAAGCTAATTCCTGGGTTCGTGACATCACAGACCCAGACAAACCCCGCCCTCGGGAAAAGGCAGCAAAGGGGGCAAGGCCATGCTGCACTGCTTTAGAGAAGAGGAAGAGAAAACTAGAGGTGCACGTAACAATCTATTCTGTCTTCTAATGATTCTAATGGATTCACAAGTTTCAAGATCAATGTTCTAAAGCAGCAGTTCTTAATACTGTTCCACACGTCCCCCTGCTCTGCACACGCTCTCTCTCTCTCTCTCTCTCTCTCTCTCTCTCTCTCTCTCTCTTTCTCATTCAGCTCAGCTCCAATAATGAACTGTTCCAATTATACACTTATTTTCACATAACTATGAGAAGCGTTAAACATGGACGCACGTGCAGTTGCCGTACTGTATTAAAGCTTTAATCAGGATAAAACCGTATATTAAAAGCTAACATAAGCAGTAGCATTTACAAATAACAGCGTATCTAAAAGTATGAGACAACAACAAACAAAAAACAGAGGCCTACCATTAAAAGCCGTGTTTGCACAGGTTCTGCACGATCCTCTTCAATAATATCCTCTGCTTCTCAATCAGGCTCAAACTGATAAGCGATATTAATGACACCATTGTTTACAATACAACCGGAGCACATGCCGCTGAGGTGAGGGGCGGGACGTTTAGACCGCACTAGAGGCGTTTTAGCCAATCACAACACACTGGGCTAGTTAACCAATCAGAGCACATCACCTATTTCTGAGGGAGGGGCTTCAAAAAAAGAAGGAAATTATCAGGTTGTTTCTCAGACAAAGGACAGAACGGTGTGGAATAAAGGTAAATTATGTGAAAAATAATGCATTTTTATTTTTAAACGAAGCATTAAAACATGTTAGACTGCACCCCATTATACACAATCAAGCCTAGAAAAAAACCAGTGAACCACCCCTTTAATAAAGGGTTCAGTTAATTGCCTTTCAAACTCCTAGTGTGTTCTTTTATTAGTTGAAATGTTTATTGATTTGTTTTAGCTTTCATTTAACTTAACGTCTAGTTCAAAACCCATTTAATCAGAGTGGTTGTAGAAACTTCTCCTCTGAGACTGCAGTAGGAGGAACTCTGTGGGAGTCCTGTTAGACTGTAAAAGATCTGACATTCAGATTTTTCACAAATGCTCCACAGAGAGTGTTACTGAGACCACAAAGTAAAGAGTCCTCTTCCAAAACTCCCACTATTTGCTTTGGAGTTTTTTGTTGGTCTCTTACTTTTGGCATTGAACATTGAATGTAATAGCTCTTTTCATTTAACCGCAATAATAATGAAAGTAGTTTAAAAACATAACAGGATAAAGTGTTTTTTTTAATTTATCTCTTCACAATGGAACATAAATGTTAATAACAGCTATGTTTCAGCATGACCGCTGCCTGCAGCACATATTTGTTTGTATATTTATGTTTTGGCAGCAGAACGAGACAACCCCTATTGCGTGTTAGGCCATGGTTCTCAATAATATAATATATACTATTTTTTAGTTATTAACAAAAAGTTATATATACAAATATAACAAAAAAATTACAAAGTAATTATTTTTTGCCACCACTAATAAATTGATCTGATTACCCTGTAGATGTTGACAGCTGTGAGAAGTGGCTGAATTGCAAGAACGACTTCCTCCAGAAATACCTACACCAGGTCCTGACCGAATTACCCAACTGCCCTTGCGTCTACCCATCCGAGGTGGTCTACAGCGCTGTCAACATTTTCGATAGGAAGTTGCAAAAGACCTATCGCTGGCGAGATGCCAGCGGCCCCAAGGAGAGGCTGGATATCTACAAGCCCTCTGCAAAGTTCTGCGTTCGCTCGATGCTCTCCTTCGACAGCACCACGTTGGCTGCACAGCATTGCTGCTACGACGATCACATGAAGCTCATCACTCGAGGCAAAGGGGCCGGAGCCCCCAACCTCATCAGTACGGAGTTTTCCCCGGAGCTTCATTACAAAGTGGACGTTCTCCCATGGATCCTGTGTAAAGGAGACTGGAGCCGTTTTCATGCAGTTCGGCCTCCCAATAATGGTCTACAGTGTGTTGAGAACCCGCAGGAAGATGTCTACATGAATGAACTAGAGGAGGCCAGGGAGTACTGATCCAGACCATGGATTTCACATCAAATCAACCAGTGTTTGCTTAATTCTGGAGAGTCCTGTGGTACAGAACGGGCGTCTCACCAGTCTTGAAGTCAATAAAAGCCTGCTCCTTTCGGATTGGGCGACTCTTTCACAGATCTAGACTATTTAGTTGATACTAAATGGAACTCTAGAGAGATTCATCTGGAAACTAAAGCTTAGATACTGTCACAAACTGTTTCGTACTGCTCAACTGCAACAACACTGGTTTAACATGTTGGTCCAAAGCTCAGATTGGAAGATCATGATGCAATTTTCTGTCTTCAGTGATGTTACGTACATGCTCCAAATAAAGTTCAGTAACAGTTCTTCAATGGCATCCTCTGGAACAAGTTCACTGTATTTTCATTGGATACACGTTTGTTTTCCTTAAGTGTCCTCAAAGACTCTGGTCCACCATTAAAGGAATTCCAGTAAAGCTGCTAGAATTGTGAGATATTCAAAAATGCAACAGAATGCCGATTTTGTTGTCTTTAGACCTGAAGCTCAATCCTGGCCTCGCTCCAGTCTGTGCGAGATCAGTCCAAACAAATCAAACAAAAGCCGCACCACTCTCAAACCGATTCAACAAATTTCTGAGAAAAGTCCTTCTCTTTAGAGTTTGTATATTGTTACTCCAAATATACACAGACCTTGTGTCACTGGATAGATATTTATGCAGGATCATTTGACCTTTGACCTACCTTTTTGCAGAGAAAAAAATTAAGGAATCTGAGAAGCGATAGGGAACCTTTTTTTTAAACTTGCCTTTGAGAAGACGTCCCTCAGCAATGGGATGCTTGTTTTTTAAAATCGGAAGTATAATTGGATCCCATTCTGTTTTCTTTTTTGCCTTTCAACACATCTCAGCTTTGTACTGAATGCAATATGAGACAGCCGCCTGATACCAGTGCAGGGGGCTGTCGGAGCATGGTTGATGGATTGAAGTCTTCCTCTAAAGGTGAGGTGAAGGTAACACTTGTCGTAAACGAACATCTCTTTAAATACAATGGCTCTTTCAATGTCTCGGTTCATCCTTGAGTCCCAGTCAAAGCCTAGAGGCTTGCATGGGATGTAGTTTGAAGGACCTAAGCCGCCCTTTTCAGCACAAGTGTTATCATGATCTCTTTGTTAGATGTTGACACGGAATGCTGGTAATTTGATTTCTAAAGTCCCGCTGACAGACGACTGCTCCATGTAGCAATAAACATCCACCTTTGATATTATCATGAACTGGGCTTAAAATCACAATGTAGTCCTATGAAAACTCAGTTCAGACTTTTTTCTAGATAAATTAAAAAGAGTACATTATGTATGTTGCATGGATTACTGCTACTGATGCGAACCTGTAACTAAAAGGTCCTTAAAAAATCCCAGGTTAGTTACTGCAAGGTAAAGACTTCTGAGGGTCTTCAATGCAGCTGTGATTCTGAGCAAGGTACGTTTGATACAAAATAATTTATGGTTCATGGTTCATCTTAAGATCTACATTCCTCTAGAGTTTAGTTATAACTCTAAATAAACTTCTAAAGCTGAAAAGGATAATCAAGGTATTTGCATTCGCTTGAAAAATACAGATGGGTTGCAAGTAACATTAAACTCTGCAGGAGAAGATCTCCAAATGTAGGAATGAGCCAAGTGCACATTAGTATCACTTATGATCCCTGTCAGACCTGAGCAAAACCGTGAAGATGATTTCACTGAGATAACAATAAATGCCAGCCATGAAAATGTCATTCAGTCCAGCTGTGAAAATGTTGGAAGCATTCAAATATCCTGCTCGTAGTGATAGTGTATTTACCTTAAATATTACAGACATGGATTCTATGATCTTTGTGCATGGGTTCTGTCCAACCTAGGCTCATTAGAAATACGTGCCTCTTCCTGCATTTTTGCAAAACTTCAAAAACGTACCTATGCATACAGTTCACTGCAGTTTCCAGCTGAAATGAACACTGGTGGCAGTAAAACACCAACAACTTGTATTCCTTTTCACACAAATGATTTCAGAGGCAGATTATCGATTAATATGAGCTTGATTCCTTACACAATACTGTGTCATGATGACCTAAAACACTTCTACCATAGCGAATGATTTGTAAATTAATACATCACATAATCAGCACCATTTGTATGGCTTTTTTGATGTAGTAAACTTGCTTGGTTGCTCACCTGTTACTGCATTGAACTTGCAATGTGGAGTGTTCTGGCACAAGTCCTGAACGTACTAACATGGCATGGTTACTTCAGAAAACACGTTTTTATCTTACAGTGGTTTTTGTTAACACTATTGGTTCGGTTTACGGTTTAGATGATGTGTTGTTTAACCTATATTGCTACTCACAATATTTCCATTTCCAAACTTCCACAATATGTACGTACAACACCCAAGGCAATAAAATGTTGACAAATTTACATTGTTTAATGTCACTCGATGGACATTATGCTTTAAAGGTGTAGTGAAACGTGTAAGAAACGTGTAAGTTTGTCCAGTGAGCCTGGGTTGGTTCTGTCACAAGTAAATCGCAGTGTCTGCATACCCGAGTTTTGATTTTGTGTGTCAATATTTTTGGTGAATGACAAAAATTTACAATTTGGGATCTTTTTCTAATTTGCAGTACTGGTTGTTGAAGATCAGTTACAATACACTCTTTTCTAAGTACATTAGATGATAAGATTTCACCTTTCAGAGCTTCAAAAAGAAAGGCACTTTATTTAAATATTGATATTGGAATATATATGTGTATATATAATCATATATTGAATTATACTTGTACAATTTACTGACTTTATAAAAATGTTATTGTAAAGGGATGAATAACAAATGCTGTTGTTTAAGGATATTGTATGTAATGTAAAATTTTGGCATGTAATTTTTAACTTCAGATTTATCGTTGTACAGTATTTATTGCTTTTGATTTTGTAACTCCTTGCTATGAAGTGGATAATCAAATAATTCTATGCACTATATGAATGTGAGTTATTTGTCTTATAGGGGATTTCTGGTCTGTGAAAAGGAAAGTGCCATACCACACACCGTTCTACTTCAATAATGCTTCTAAAGTCATCTTTCTTTGTATTAAACACTCAGTAACCAGATATAATAAATGTAACTTTGATCATGTCATGTGTGCTTGAACTGAATTACTGTCTCCTGGGTATAAACATGTAGAGTTTAGTTAAAGATTTTTTTGAGTAATAGCAGGTGAATTACATTCATAACAATATATGAGCAACTTTTTGAGTAACGTATGCTTTAAAAATACTTTATTGTACTGTTTTAAAATGTTTATAGCGAACATAATGTTAATTTGAAATCCAGAACTATCATCTCGATTTTGGTCAACCCAGACCCTTCTTAAAAGCTGTCTTATTTGTATTAATAACCTCAAAAATGAAGTGTAAAATGGTTACACATCTCATAAAGGTTTTAAATAGCACAAAAACATGAAGCGTGGACAGCTGTCACAGCAAACGGACACCAGCACCAGTCGTTTTCAGTTTAAACATGATGATGGACTTAACAGTAGATTTGTGTTCTCATTTTCCACTGGATATTAGGTTGCCTTTAACACATGTGCTGCCTGCTTTTCTCAATTACCAATTAAGAGGAAGAACATTTTGTTTTTGGATGAAAAGAGGCATTAGCTTTAAGTCTAGCTAATGCAAAATGAATTGGACAACTGGCATAGTATCATGTCTTTATAAGAACTACGCTTAAAGTTACGTATCGGGTAACAAAGCTGAGAAAAGATTGAAGCCCTGAAGGGTTTTTGCAGTGCTTATCATTGAATAGCAATCTTGCTATGCAACAGCCATCTGCTGCACTAATAATCTAATTGCCTTCACGTTAAGCATTGCTTGAGTGCTTCAGCCAGGACACAACCTGAACCAAGTCCAAGTCAGGTGCTGCAATGGAGGTCAGTAATATTTCCCCCTCCCCTTCTGTTCTTTGGAAGCCCACTTAGTGGATTTCCTCAATGGTTATGTCTGGTCTGCCTCAGATACATTTGTCTCTGACATTAGTGACTGATTCCCTTTTCCTCATCCTTCAAAATTTGCGGCACATTTAAAAGTAAGATGGGACAAAGAGCTTCTGAGATCTGAATGAGTCCTACAACACCTTCACATATTCTTGAGAAAATTATATAATCTAATTTATTCTTTAGTTGTGGGGGGGAAAAACTTTTACAGGAAAAAAATAAGTCAGAATTGATTTAAACATTTACAAAAAGCAATAAACCATCAGCTAGAGGCATTTGAAGCCCTTTGAAGTGAACATGGCACCCTCTGGATCTCCCACAGCTCTCGTCCTAATGTTTCTTTTCTATCAGTGGAAATAACAAGCAGAAATTGCACTCGCTACAGAGTTAAAACAGAATATTTATTAGAGGTCAGCCCTCCATGGCTCCCACGGTGAACTCAAAGCATGGCGGCTTGGAACTGGGTGCAGGGAGTCAGGCAAAGATAACTGTACCTGTATTTGGGGTTGTTTGCACAGAAAACACCCTCCTCCCAGAGAACCCCAGGAGGCAAGAGGGACGCCTGCTCCTTGTCCCTCAAAACGAGAGGAAACAAAAATAAATAGAGGAGTGAATGGTCACAGGACATTGCTTAAACATAAAGACCAGGCTCTAAAGACAGACAACCAAATTGGGTTATTTCGTGTACGACCATGGCCTTTGCTCTTGCCCGTACATTATGAATAATTGGGAAGTCTATTTCAAAGCATATGTCTTCTCAATGTACTGCAAACCATTAATGCATTAGGAAGCATAATTACCAGTGAACACATAATGGGGAAATGGTTTAGGGGCTCATGAAACAGATCCGTTTAAGTGTACTTAAAGGGGTCATAGGATGCCCATTTTCCACAAGTTGATATGATTCTTTAGGGTCTTAATGAAAAGTCTGTAACATAGTTTGGTTAAAATTTCTCAATGGTAGTGTAAAAAACACCTTTTTTACCCCTGTGAAAAACAGCTCTTTTCAGATCAAGCCGTTTTTGTAGCATTTTCCTTTAAATGTTAATGAGCTCTGCTGACCCCGCCCCTCTCTTCCAAACTGCTCTCAGAGAGACTGTTTACTTTAGCCGCATTCATCGTGAAACTTGTTAATTAGCACATTATTAGGAAAGGCGATTTGCAAAGATTCATTGCAAAACATTATACTCACTTCTTCTGTAGATGAGACTGGATCATGAATGATTCGCGCGAACATAGATGCATTTATGTAGATCGGGGGCGCATTCCCTTAAGAAACAAATGTAATCCACTGCGAGTTCAGCGGCTCAGATGTTCGAAGTAAATGACGACTGCTATGTTCATTATTACATCCAACAACAGAACACCTCATTCGCTTAGGAGTCATTCTTGTCTGCATCTGCTCCAGCGGTGAAACAATGGAGGACTGATGACAGCTCACTCAGTGCGTGTCTAATGTAAGACACCAGTCCAGTCTGTGCTGAAACGCTACTGTCAATCAAACTATCGTGGGAGGGGCCTGTCTGTCTGACGTCGGCTCGATTTGAGAAAGGGGAAAACATTTAACCAGATAAAAAAAAACACTGGGTGGATTTGTATCATTATAGGGTTGTTGTGTACATACACTGCCAACACACATTTCAGTTCAAACAACTACAGTGCACAAAGTGCATGTAGCATCCTATGACCCCTTTAAGTTTTAGGTTTTTTGTTTTTCAATGATTTAAAAAAAAATACTTACACTACCAGTCAAAATATATATCTTTGATTTTTTTCAGTCACTAAACCTTAAATATAGGACCTATGGATCTCCAGTTCTTGTTTTTAATTTGTTGGTGATGAATGTAGCAAAATTAGGGTGACGTTTTTTAGGTTTATGATGACGTTCATGTCAATGAAAACGGAGGTAAATGCTGCTGAATGTCAGGGCAAAAGCATCACTACAAGGATTGGTGAATGAGAGCAACATTTGAGAGGGGCTTGTTTTACAACTACTCTTGGGGCTATAAATAAGGGAGAGAGAGATCCAAAACAGACCTGAGAAAAGTGAGTCCATATGGGTTCTGGTGGAATGGACGGTGATGAGCCAAGATCAAAGCCTCATGCTCTGACTGAGTACAGCTCGCAGCACAAACCCTGTACTGCACCAGATTCTAGCAAATAGAGAAGTCTGTGTTCTGCTATTGTTTGATTCCGTCCCACTTTATTATAAAGGAATCAGTTATATTCCTATTTCTAGCTATGCTATGATGACTAAGGCAAAG